AAAAAGCAAAGTGACCAAGAAAAAGAAGACAAAAATAGAGAAGTGGATTCTTCGCACAAAAGAGATAGTGTGTACATGTGTTAAAAAAAAAAAATAAATAAAATTTAAGTTAAAAAAAGAGAAGAAAGTTTGGTCTGTACTTTTCTATTGGTCTTGTTCTTAAAGGAAAGGCAAGCATGCCTTGAGTGTCTGAATCACGACAAACAATCACCATCACACACTCTCTCTCTCTCTCTCTCTTTCCTCTGTATGCCACATCTACAATTTGATTCATGTTCTTTTAACATCTTATCTTTATATATATACTAGGGTTTGCCCGTGCCTGAAGGCACGGTGACCATTAACCATTAAAGATAGTTTGTGAGAGAGACATTTTCAAAAATAAATCTGAGCCATTGCTTTTAAATCTAAACAAATCTGAACCATTGATTTGAAAGACATTTTCAAATTAACCCTTCCATTGTTATATAGATATTATATATAATGCTTTTTTTTTTCTTCTCATTTTTCACTTTGCACTGCTTTTGCTTCTTCGACACATTGGCCAAGTTCTATGTGAAGCCTGCAATCACAACACCCACAGCTTGATTTGCAATTGACGTATTTGCATCAAATTTTTACAATTTTTATCATATTTGTTTATGTCATTAGACACGCAAATATAATAAAATTTACATTATTAATAAAAACATATGAGATCTATACTTTTATGTGTCTAATAATAAAATCACACAAGAAAAATCATGGAAGAAGTTTTAGGTGTGACACAATATATAATCATATAACAATTTTTAATAGTGAACTGAGGTTGATAAAAATGCAATCGGTGTGTTTTTATTTGGTAGTGTAGGCATTAATAAGGAATTGAAGGTCTTGCATCGATTTCAGGAGGTTTGAATATTAACATATTTTGACCGTTGAGCATGTGCACGAGTGGCTAGTCTGATCAGTCCCAGCTGTCAGATGGATTGTTTTTGTTTTGTTTATTACAAGTAACGGCTCCAATTGCATCTTCTCACTCATCAGACCCACTGACCGGGCTGCGGCATATGTTTTTATAAAATTTTTAAGAAAATACTTTAGACTACTAATTAGTAGTGGCTTTAATGATATGGTTGTGGGTTTCACTCACTGTCACAATGTATTTGTGCCTTGATATTTATTTATTTATTTTTTTAATTGTCACCTCACTAGTGGTGAGGTTAGTGATGACAAATTAATAGTCTATAACATTGTTCAAAATTTTATACAAAATTTATGACAAATATAGTGATAGTATTTGTGAAATTATGACAATAATAGTGAATGTTTACAATAAGTCTCACATTTGTTATGTTCAAAAATTTTAGGGATAATCACAAAAAATAAAAAATACAAGGATTTAATCATGTAATAAAATAAATCTTATGTTTTATATTTTATTAATTTAAATTCTAATATTTTTATTTGTTTTTAATCTAAATTATTTATTTAATTCATTAAACAAAATAATAATATTTTAATCATTAAATTCAATGTAAGTATATATAAGATGTCTAAAATATTCATTTCATTCAATTTAATGACTAAAATACATTTTTTTCATCGATTTTACTAAACAAAAATAAGTAAATGGTTTAAATTGAAAATAATTATAAAGTTTAGGATTTAAATTGATAAAGTTAAATATTCAGAATTTATTTTGTTATAAGGCTCAAATCTTAAGAATTTTTCTTTTATTTTTTATTTTTATAGTTTTATCAAATTTTTATTAATATATTAATATCAATAAGAAACATATGTGCTAATGTTAAAATAAAAAAATAAAATAAAACATGAACGATTCATGCTCCTAAGATCATCTCCAATCATTTACCTTCTCATCCCAAATTCCAATCTTTTTATTAAATTTGTAGGAATACGGCGGAGACAGGCCGAAGCCCAATTACACGCGAGAGCCGAGCACTTAAATGGACTCTGACAATACTCTTTGTTTAAGGCCTTAAATCATTTTTTTTCCCAATAAGATTGGGATAATCACAAAAAATAAAAAATAAAAAATACAAGGATTTAATCATGTAATAAAATAAATCTTATGTTTTATATTTTATTAATTTAAATTCTAATATTTTTATTTGTTTTTAATCTAAATTATTTATTTAATTCATTAAACAAAATAATAATATTTTAATCATTAAATTCAATGTAAGTATATATAAGATGTCTAAAATATTCATTTCATTCAATTTAATGACTAAAATACATTTTTTTCATCGATTTTACTAAACAAAAATAAGTAAATGGTTTAAATTGAAAATAATTATAAAGTTTAGGATTTAAATTGATAAAGTTAAATATTCAGAATTTATTTTGTTATAAGGCTCAAATCTTAAGAATTTTTCTTTTATTTTTTATTTTTATAGTTTTATCAAATTTTTATTAATATATTAATATCAATAAGAAACATATGTGCTAATGTTAAAATAAAAAAATAAAATAAAACATGAACGATTCATGCTCCTAAGATCATCTCCAATCATTTACCTTCTCATCCCAAATTCCAATCTTTTTATTAAATTTGTAGGAACACGGCGGAGACAGGCCGAAGCCCAATTACACGCGAGAGCCGAGCACTTAAATGGACTCTGACAATACTGTTTGTTTAAGGCCTTAAATCATTTTTTTTCCCAATAAGATTGGGTTGGGCCTAAAGATTGGAATAATCAATAGTCTATAAAGAACCTGTCCGTGTTCTTCCCAAATAGAGTGGAAAAAACAATATTTTAAAAATTAAAAAAAAAAAGGAAAATTACAAATCAGTAAAAGGTGGGACAAATAATTACCAAAAGGAGGGAATCATTGTGAGATATGACTTTTGCTTTGTTTTTTTAACACAAAAAAGACTTGCACCCCTATATATATATTTGTAATTGTTTTTAGTCAAATGGCTTGATGAGTAGTTTCTTGAAAAATAAAAGAGGGTGAGAGAGAAGAGAGAAGAGAGAAAAGAGAAAAGAGATTTAAGTTAGCTTTTGAAGCTTAGGTGTCTTGCAAAGTTTGACTTGTGACCAGTTGAGTAAAAACTTATTTAGGATAAGTCTAGTTTAAACCCATTTTTAGCATTCATTATTATTTTTAAGAAAATAACCTACAACTGCACCTAATTAAAGTTCATGTCATAACGAAATCTTGCAAACAATAGATGTTGTGTCCACCTTTTATTTTTATTTTTATTTTTTTTGTTCGTTTGGTAATTATAGAAAATCATTATCAAAGTTTACCTATAGAAGGAAAAAGTCAATTGTTAATGCCACCAATGCAAAAAGAAGGAAAATAAATTAGGAAACTTCTCATTGCCAGTGGTGTAAATTGTCATTAGAGAAGAATATATCATAATTAGCTACCCAAAATAAAAAATTAAAAAATTAGCTAATTTTTCTCTCAAGCAGCTTTGTATTTTTATGAAATTTTATTTTTTATTATTTATTTATTTATTTTTTAAGTGTGTCACCCATCATGTACAATCTAGCTTAAGCAATATCCATGACAATCTAATATTGACAGAAAAAGAGAAAAAGAAGAGCAAATATAGCCCCTTTTTTGGTTAATATAAACTTAACCATGCTGCATAAGAGGTGCATCTATGGATATTAGATTAGGACTAAGAAAGCAAAAAGAATCTTCAAATTACTTATAAAAATCATGAAGATTTACTTGGGTAATTCTTTTCGAATTGATGGTAAACATTTTTCCATAGTGTTTGCACCATATTTTATTTTTCTGTCGATTATGGCCTATTAATTATGACCAAGTTTGATTATGGTCAATCGATTGAAATCATAAATTATTTAAAAAAAAATAACCTTAACCATATTTGTTTTTATTGTTATTATTTTTGTCGACAGATGTGCTAACGTGACATGACAGATGTGTTAAGGACGTGGCATGATGACATGTTAAATGGAGGGTCAGAAAGTTAGCAACTGCAGCAATTTAAAAGTTAGTTGCTGGGATCAGGGAGTCAAGATCAAATCGCGTATGAAATCTACAAAATGATTCCTATCAAACATGGGGTATGGATAATGTTGAGGAAAACATGAGCTTGTTGAGGAAATCGTGGGCTTAGGTTATCTCTTTCTCTCATATGGTTAAGTCTATAAATAGACCAAGAGAGATACAAAGATCAATCAATCATCAACCATCAAACACACTCGTACAGAGTTATTTCGGAGTATTTCTAAATTAGCCATTTTAGGAGTAAATTAGACAAGTAGCTTTTCTAACCCCCTACTTCTCTTCTTTCTATCGATTGCTGTATTTATTCAATTTTTTGTTCTTGTTTAAGTTTTTATAACTAGTGACAATTTATTCGAATTAATACATATTCTGTCATATTCAATTTCTTCTTTACTTAATTACCTTCAAAGAAGTCTTTAATCTGTTTAAAGCATAAGACTCAACCACAAAGTCTAATCTTTTTGTGTTTATTTAAAATCTGCTAAACCCTGTTGATCAATCATTGTTGATTGGGCTTGAACCGAATTTTTTCTAGCACATAGTCTTACATTAAAACCTTCTATACATTAGACAAAAATTAAAATTAAAACTAAAACTAAAATCTGCGTGGACCATGCAAGATTATTTTGTATGGAGTAATGATATATAAATACAAATTGTATAAGAATGATGTGGTGAATGATTATGTATGAAAATTTGGAAAGTATAGCATTTTCTCTCCGTATGAGATTTAAGGGACTATTTGGCAAAAGATTTTTAAATCACATTTTTTCCCATTTTTTTTCCCCCCATTTTACTAGGATTTTTTTCCCCAATTGTTTTCAGAAAATTTTCAGTTTTTTCCTAGGTTTGCAAAATGGGAAGTGTGAATTCAAGTACTTAGGCGCTACTTCTTGATAGGTCTAATAAGTAGGTCTTAACAAGGTCATTAAACAAAGATATTAGCTTGAGCAAAACCAGGTATGTCAAAGGATTACACTATTATTCTAACACCAAATCCAAGATTACGCAATATCTAAGAAAACAATCATTAGACTATTGGAGTAGATTATAGGTTTTCCAATTGTATGAACATATCTAGGGTTTCTAGTTTATTTATTTGAAGCAAAAGTGCATGTCTTAAAGTGTGCAGTAGCATTACAAAATTGACAGAGTAATCTTCACCCAAGATATTTCTTTTGCATAAGCCTCATTTTGTACCAGCTCTGTTGAGTGTTTAAATAATAAAATTACTCATCTCGATCTTTAACAGCTTAAGCCTCTAGATGAGCCGGCAGTTAACAATTCAACACGATCAGTGCTGAATATAGCCAAAAGCCATCAACTTTAGTTCATCGGCATCATCTTGGAAAGCCCATTCATGCCTTCCATTTGTTTGCATATCAAGGGAATCCATGGAGTACTGCGAAGTCTCTTCAAAACTAGTAAATGACTTATTTTCTTCCGGGATGATTTGATTCTCATAATTTCCAATAGAGTTTGGATTCATGAAACTGTTTTCACAATAAGGGTTGTTTCCAAAATTGCTGATCAAGTTCGGATCGAATTGTGCCATCATTGAATTCTCTGACTGAAAAACACCTTGTGAGTAAGAAGCAAGCTTTCCACACAATCTTTCATTAGGGTTTGCAGTACCGGTGGAGCCATTGATAAAGTTCCGAGCCCAAGCCATCTGTTCCTTCAGACAAGCTAGTTGTGCTTGTAAATTGACAACCTGCATAATTAGGGTTAAATAACAAAAAACTAAAATTAGGGTTTCAATTTTCAATTATGAGTGCAAAATTAGGGTTTCAAGTAAGGTTAATGGGTACTAAACCTGTTGTTGGAGGGCAAAAATATGTGAGACACAGCCATAAATTGGGTCTTGAAGCCTAGCTTGAGCTTCATATGAGATTGTAGCCGCGGCCTCACAACGATCACTCACTGGAAGGTGAGAGAGGAGCTTGGAGACATTACTAGCACCGAAGACTTTGTGGATGGCTGAGAAATGAGTAGCACTTTGTTCATGGCAGAAATATGGGGCAAAAACACAACCCCTCGCACATTTTCTTCTCAAGAACTTGCAAGCACCACAAGGTGAACCAGAGCTTGTCATCTTGATGATGATCTTTTTGGGAAGTTTTGAAATAAGTTAACTAAACTCTTGTTCTAAGCTTAGTGAAAGCATTATGATCACTATGTTTATAAACACTAGAGGAAAAGAAGGGTGGATCATATTATAATGAATTTTTAATTGCATTTGTTCCCTCAATGGCTTACAGAATTGCATTATTATTATTTTTCTTTATTAAAAACTAAAATTTTATATTTTCATTTAAGATTCCATTGAACACCAGTGAAGGACAAAACAGCTAGCATAAACCAAACCCATTTCTATTTGCTTGATGATTGGATCTTTTCAGCTCATTTTTGAAAGTAAAGATTTTTATATGTGATATTGAAACTACATTTAGCTGTTGATTGTACCAAAATTTAACATATATAATTAAGGTTGGGAAATTGGTTGAGGATTATTTGGTTGTCTGTCATGTACTCGTGTCTTTGCAAGAATAATTTATTCATTGAAAATGTGTTTAATTTCTTTTCTTTATACTAATCTCTACAGGTTTTAGCCAAACAAATTTATCTGTAATTTAATTTGCAACTCTTAGACTGTGTTTGGATTTTGAATTTGTGAAGGAAAACAAAAAGAAAGGGAAAAGATAAATTTTTATTTCATTTTGCTCACTGCATAAGCTCTGTTTTAAGATTTCCTAATTGCAACATTGGCTCAGGTTTTACCAAATACAGTGTGAACCTATGAAATGTAAGTCCAATAACAGGCAAAATGTGTGTTTTTTAATGTGTTCTGACATGTTTGCTATGTAAAGTGCGAAAAACTGAGACACTTACACTATAAAAGTGATTCATTATATATTGAACCAATTATGGTTTGAAAACATTGTAATTTTATAATCTCTATTAACTATGAAGCTTGTTTGTTGTCTTTGTTTGCTCCTCTCTGTGAAAATACTATTGGTAAACTACATAATTATACTTTTTCATAAACTAATTTTTATCTATTTATAATCTTTTTTTCCTTCCTGTAGATTTAGTGTAAAATTTCATAGTTTCATTGTATGGGTCACATTTTCAAGCAACTGTGACGCATGAAACCTAGATTAAACTAGACAAGGTTCATTAGTTTAGGTAAAATTTTGTCTCTTATAAGTAGAAATGGGCCAATGAACATTAATAAACTAAGTACTAAAATTTTTTATCATATATTTTACTCAAAAAAATTATTTGTAATCCAAATTCAATCTTTGCATATCTTATAAGATGAATCAGAACTACATCTTAACTTTTCAAGATAAAATTCTAAGCACGTTGCATTGTTGATCTAACTCATAAAAATATGAAGTAACTATAACAAAACTAACAAATTTTATAGAATTTTGATATTTATTAATATGACACTTATAATATCATTAAAGTGGGTCGTGGTTTTAATATTATTATTATTTTTTTTTATCGGCAAAAAAGAAAGTTTTATTGATAAAAAAACATAGTTCTGAGCACAATTACATCAACAAAGCAGGAAAATATAAAAAGCATTGTACCTAACCTCAACGATCCCATAGGTTGGCACCGTAAAAGAAGCACAATCATATGAGAGTATTTGACCCAAGATTGGTGAGAAACCAATCAGAAGCGCTCAAAGAAAAAACAGAACAGCTATACATTATTACATGACACATCAATTAATAAAAATAGTTTATAAAATTTATTAATTTATATAAAGATTTGTAAAATTTATTAATTTATATAATTTTGTTTTGTATAAATATATGTTGTTAATGTTGGGATCGTGATTTTGGGATCCGTGATACTTTAAAGCATAGACAGATACAAATAATAAAAAAAAATACGAAGACATAAAAAAGAAGCATATTCCAAAAATGAAAGAAACAAAAGATAGTGACACTTGAATGGAACCTTGTCATTAAGGAAAAAAAATATATTTAGTTTAGGTTATAATGTTAATTATGGTCTTGGTCACTCTTTAAATTATTTTTTTTTTTTAAAAAAGATAAATTTAAGATTTTAATTTTTTTGTAGCTTATTTCATCAGAAATGTGCAATAGGTAAAACTTAAAATTTTATTATTTTTATGTGATTAATTTATGAGTGATCAAAAGACAAACTTAAAATTTTATCTTTTTTATGTGTAAGTCTTGCAGGTCACAGCTTGTCGAGCAATACTTGTATTATTAATATTAACTATAATCTTACATATAATCATTAATCACTTTCAATCACTTTTCTTGTGTCACACATTGGTGACCAACATGTAGACCTTGCCCAAATGTGCATTTAGGCCTCCACAGCCCCTTAATAATGATCCCCCAACTTAGCCCCCTTTCTCCCTTAAGGGCTAATACCTTTTAAGCCATAAAATTTGAATAATTTTATGGACACTAATGGTGTGTTTGGTGTGAGGATTTGGGGAGGAATTTGGAAAGGGAAAAGGAAAAGGTGTGTGAAACTATGTGAAATTTAGGCATGTTTTATTCATATTTCACCTACCTTTTCCATTTCCCTTTCTAAATCCCTCTTCAAATCCCTCAACCAAACACAACATAACACTTCTATTAAAAAAAAAAATTATTGAAAGTATAAAAAATCAAATATGATTGGTTGTCAAAAATATAATAATATTTGAACATCCAATGATGTTTGGATACATATACTTTTTATATGAATTTTAATAAGAATTTTATTGTAGGTGACATTACTCATAAAATTTAGGCTGCATTTGGTGTACCATATGGTAAATAGGGTTTAAGCTGCATTGGATATATGGAAAGCAGCATACTGATTAATTCCGAAATTTGATTACATATGCCCCACCCATTAACATTTTTGATCGATAAAAAATAAAATTAACAAAAGAGAACTAAAAATCTAGTATTAAAGCTATGTTCCTTTTTTCTCATTTGGGAGATTATGACGGCCGTTTTGTCCAAGATTTATTCTTCTTCTTTTATTTATTTATTTTTTTTTTATTTTTATAAAAGAGGGGAGTAAAACTCCAAATAAACTAAGAAGGACCTGCAGCCTCCTTTGCAACTAACAGAAAAAGAGAGGGCGGACAAGCCACTAGCCAGTCCAAGATTAATTCTTAATTAAGTGTAAAATGTTACACATTTCATAAATACTCCCTATAAGACTGTGGTTTCCATCACTAAACTATAGGAGATCTAAATATCTACTCAAAACTTACTGATTGTTTATGGTGTATGTTTAGATCTTAAATTTATGAAGAAGGAAAATTGAAATAGAAATTAATTTATTTCTCACTTTTCCCTTCAATTAGTCTCCTACAAATCTTTGTTTGCATTCAAAATTCAAACACAACTTTAATATTCTTCCCAATTAAAACATCAAATGCAATGTTGGCATGAAGTGATTACAAGATTAATCTACTGGGCGTTATTGGACAAGAGGAAAGCATGTATCAATAGGGATTCAAGCATAGTATCGCCTCTTTGACTGAGAATGCCAAATCTTTTGTTCTTGTATCACAATGCACTCTTAATTGCATAATAATATCTTAATATTTTTATCATATTAAATTATTTAAAACATATTAAAATAGAGGGAAAAAAAATTAGGAACAAAAAAATTTCAGGCCCTTACAGCCATTATCTGAATGCTGCTGTGTGGTGTAGAGGAAGGGGTGTTAGAAGATTTGTTGGTGGTGCAGCTCATATGAGTGCAGGTCTGTTGCTGTATGCTGGTTGACTAGCAGGGGAGCTGAAATGCTGATGCTGTTGGTCTGTTGCTATGCTGCTGGTCTGTTGCTCTGTTTTGCATTATGAACTGATGGGGTTGGTCTATGATCTACTTGCTGCTATGCTCTGTGATGGCTGCTACTGCTATGGTCTGCAGGTGTTCTGTGTGGGCAGTGTTCATGTTGAGTTGGCTGCTGCTCCTGTTTCTGTTGCTATGGATTGTTGTTTGTTCTGTCTGGCCAATGATCATTCAAGTTGGCTGCTGCAGCTGTTTTTCTTTATTGTTTGTCTTGTTTCCTTACTGTTTGCTAGTTTTGGGTTGTATTTTTTGGTTTAGTTTTGGTTATCTTCTGCTTGGGTGAGGTTGGCTTTGGTGTTTGTGGTTAGTTCCTCACCAATTCTTGATAGTGGGTTAGCATATGATTGGGCGGTATTTTCGGTACCAACTTAGTTGGAATTGATTTGGCTCGCTTTGATGTTTTTTGCACTCATCTTTCTCTTCTTTATTGATGTATTTGTCTTCTAATTCATCAATAAAATTCTTTTTTTTTTTGCTGATAAAAAAAAAATTTGAGGAATAACTTTGAGTGATGTATACTTGTTGGCCACTTAAGCATGAAAGAGGAAATGACATTGGGGACAAGAAGGCATTTTAACTAATGGGATTATTAAAATAATAATCTACTTTATACAATAATGTAGGAAGGGTTCAACCGATCTTAATAAAACTTATCTATTTGAATTTTGTTTAAACTTTAATATTATACATTTTACAAATAAAAGCACTTTCGAGACAAACCTTTTTGCATTCCAAAGGTACTTTTACTTGAATTTTGTTCTTTTATATATCAGCTAGAATGTTTCCTCATCTTACATAAAATATTAATGGTATATTTGGATCATCAGAATAATTTGCTAAAATAAAAATGATTATTATATCATAATATTCATTCTCACATTTGGTTCACTAAAAAAACATTATAAAAAATACATTTTAAGTAAAATTATTATTGATTATTATATGAGAATAGTTATTTCATTAAAAAAATAATAATAATAATTTAAGAAATGACTTTCATTCCAGTGTATGCAGCTTTCAAGAAATTACATATGCAGTGTTACTCTTCCTAATTTCCTACCTTGGGTCAGAGTAAGAACTTTCCAAGGAAAATTGTTTAATTTTACTACTTTTAAAAAATATAATTAATTAGTGTCGTTACTTTTTTTTTTTTTAACAAAAATATTAAAAGTACTTAGACAATGTAGTGTATATATATGTTAATTCGTGTGGTATAGATCACAATCAAAATAAATATCATTCACACAGATTTAATCTAAACATTTTATTCTTTGGATTTTTTTT